TTTCAAATTTTGAACTATGTTCACTTTTTTCAGTGGTGAAAAAAAAATTCTTCTATTTCTCATCCTCATCCAACCATAAACTCGAAACCCGATTAGTCACAAAAGATTGTATTTTGGTAGAGGTGTTTCACACTTGATGCAAAATAAATAATGCTTTGATCTATCTTGAAATTTGAAGGCATTTGACCTTGAACCATGAAAAATTTTCGCCTGCGGCGCATAATTTTGTCTTACCCTGACCCCTCAATTTTGGCACCCATTGGACAAAACAAAACTCGCCGCCCCTGACTGTGGGCGTGGTTTGTGCTAGCGTACAGTATATTTAGTAAAATCGCTCCCAGGACATAGCATAGGGTATGTCACGACGAGCTTACACTATCTCTATCTCTACAGGGTGTCCTTAAAAGGTCTTTACAAAAAGCTACCACATATTCTTCGGACCAAAACAATTCGATACAAGCAAACTTACCTCAGTAAAAAGTTGCTTAGTTTGGGCGCTAGACGGCTCTGAAGTTGAAATTTTCAAATCGATTTTGCTTCATAACTTTTGAACGGCTCATGAGATTTTTTTCAAATTTGGTGCGTTGGCATAGACTCATCGGGCAATGAAACTCATATCATAATCATAATGAATATCATTCCATGGGCGTAGAACTTGATTTTTTCAGGAAATAAACATCTAAAACTCCTACGCCAATGGAAAAAAAATTAGTTTCAATATGAAATCTAAATTATTCAACTCATTCACTACAAAAAAGGTACTCTTGACAAAAGTCGATTCCTCTCATGGTTTCGACAAAATTTTAATTTTAGTGATTTAGAGCATAATTAATAATAAAACGATTAACAGATATTTCATAAAAATTGTTCAAAATGTTCACCATTTTCACGTATACAAAGATTTATACGACGCAAAAAGTTGAAATGTACTCTTTGCATAACTTCTTCATCGCCTGTAAGATTATTCGTCGCCTGTTGGATACGTTGCCATAATTGTTCTACAGTATTCACAGGGGTCTTGTAAACCGTAGACTTGAGATAACCCCATACAAAATAATCCATCGGTGTTAAGTCTGGAGAACGTGGTGGCCAATTCACGGGTGCATCATTACCTCTACCTATCCATCTGTCTGGGTACTGTTGGTTTAAAAAATTCCTAACATCCACCGAAAAATGTGGTGGAGCTCCATCGTGCATAAACCACATATCTACCCGATGTTGGAGTGGTAAATCTTCCAACAAATTTGGCAACGTATTTCGTAGATGTTGTAAATACATGTCTCCTGTTAATCTTTGTGGAAGTATGACAGGACCAATTATAAAATTTCCTATTATTCCAGCCCAAACGTTGATTTTGAATTCGTGTTGAAAATGGTTTATTTTAATGGAATGAGGATTTTCAATTGCATAAACGTGTTCATTATGAAAATTAGTTATTCCTCTTCTCGTGAAACAGGCTTCATCAGTGAACAAAATATTCTTTCCAAAGTTCAGATTCATTTCTCTTTGCAAATTAATTAACCTACAAAACATCACGACTTTGTGAATCATGGATTAATAAATCTTGAACTGGCGTCTTGTGGTATGGGTATAATAATTGTTCTCTTAGTACTTCATGAACGGCATTCCTAGAAACTTCTAGTTCATTACTTATCCGTCTAGTACTCAATTCTGGATTTTTTTCAATACGGTCTAAAATTTCTACTTCGACTTCGGGAATCCTTACATAACGCTGTCTTCCATAATCACCAGTTCTAGGAGCAAAATGACCGGTCTCCCGAAGACGTCTCTCAACTGCAGCAAAGGTTGGGTGGCTTGGTACGCGACGATTTGGAAACCTTGCCGAATACACCCTCACACTCTCTCGACCATTTCCTTGACAATATCCGAATACCAATAACATATCGGTGTATTCTTCATTGGTGTATTGTACGGCCATGATAAATCAGAAAAGTCCGATATCAACAATCAACGTCAATAAAACTCGACAAATCAACACAGATGAAACTATGGAAACCAAGAATGTGAATATCACTGTTTTCGAGCAGATAATAATAGTCTTCAGAAAAAAAAACCAGTGCTACTTATTTTCATTAGAAATAACCTATGCAAAAAGTACATCTCAACTTTTTGCGTTGTATAAATCTTTGTATACGTGAAAATGGTGAACATTTTGAACAATTTTTATGAAATATCTGTCAATCGTTTTATTATTGATTATGCATGCTCTTAATCACTGAAATTAAAATTTTGTCGAAACCATTCGACCATTTGTCAAGAGTACCTTTTTTGTAGTGAATGAGTTGAACAATCTAGATTTCATATTGAAACTAACTTTTTCCATTGGCGTAGGAGTTTTAGATGTTTATTTACTGAAAAAAGCAAGTTCTACGCCCATGGAATGATATTCATTATGATTAGGATTTCAACTTTTTGCGTCGTATAAATCTTTGTTCACGCGAAAATAGTGAACATTTTGGAAAACTTTCATGCAATATCTATCAATCGTTTCATTATTTAAATATGCGCGAAATCAATAAAACTTAAATATTGTCGAAACCATCAGAGTAATCGAATTTTATCAAGAGTACCTTTTTTGTAGTGAATGATTTGGGCTATCTAGATGTCATACTGAAACTGATTTTTTTTCATTGGCGTAGAAGTTTTAGATGTTTATTTCCTGAAAAAATCAAGTTCTACGCCCATGGAATGATATTCATTATGATTATGATATGAGTTTCATTGCTCGATGAGTCTATGCCAACGTACCAAATTTGAAAAAAATCTCATGAGCCGTTCCAAAGTTATGAAGCAAAATCGATTTGAAAATTTCAACTTCAGAGCCGTCTAGCGCCCAAACTAAGCAACTTTTTACTGAGGTAAGTTTGCTTGTATCGAATTGTTTTGGTCTGAAGAATATGTGGTAGCTTTTTGTAAAGACCTTTTAAGGACACCCTGTATATCGAGAATTAGTCGGGAGAAACACATGAAAATATGCATGCTTATATTTTACAATACGTTCTCCTCATTTAAAATAATATCAGCAATGCAGTGTTGCCGCTTCTATATCAAAAAGTAGTAACAACTTTGTTATTTAAAGTAGACTACCCTGTATTTTATTCCATTTTTGGAATCTCTCTGAAGAGCTGATTTCAACGATATATCACACTCAGGGTCTATCGGAAATGATAACAGAGATATAGGGTGTTCATATATGATTATAATCGAGATTTTTCAACTTTAGGATTTGTTTTTGTCGAAACTATTCATTATCGGCCAAAACGGTTCACATGTCCCTATCTCAACTTTTGATTCACTATTTACTTATATTTAATCGGAACAGATACAGGGTGATCAGAGTTCTGAATCTTAAACCACCCTGTATCTATTCCGATTAAATATGAATAAATAGTGAATTAAAAGTTGAGATAGGGACATGTGAGCCGTTTCAACCAATAATGAATAGTTTCGACAGAAAAAAATCCTCAAGTTGAAAAATCTCGATTTTGAACACCCTATATCTCTGTTATCTTTTTCGATAGACCCAAAGTGTGATACATCGATGAAATCAGCTCTTCAGGAAGAATCTGGAAATGCGATAAAATACAGGTTGTTCCATTTGAAATATCAATGTTGCTACTACTTTCTAGTAGAAGCGGCAACACTGCATTGTCGAAAATATTTCAAATGAAAAGAGCGTATTCTGAGATATAAGCATGCACATTTTCATGGATTTCTCGCGATTGATTCTCGATATAAAGATAGTGTAAGCTCGTCGTGACATACCCTGTATAGGTCGTGTTGGTGGATGAATTGACCTGTGTCTCAGTGAGGGCCAATATGTCTTATATATGGCTTTTCAGTTTGGAAGTGTCGATAGACATTGTTGATAATTTTCTGAAAAGTCATGAGATATTTTTTGCTTATAATAAATCACACCAAAATACATTTCGAAATGGCGGAATAGCAGTAAGGACAAAACTTACTTGCGAAACAAATTCTAGAGGTAGCTTTTTATACCACTTTAAACCGTAGGGGAATATTTAACTAATTGCCAAGTGTCAATGAGTGAGTTTCAATGTCTACGTGAGGTAGTTAATAGAACTACTACACCTTTTCAGTTGTATTTCAGAAAGCGTCAATTGAATTCCAGAATAGTCAATTGTATTTCAGAATAGTCAATCGAATTTCATAAAGCGTCAATTGTATTTCAGAATAGTATCTTGTATTTCAAAAAGAGTTAATTATATTTCAAAGAAGTCAATTCATTTTCAGAAAGCGTCAATTGTTATTCAGAATAGTCAATTGACGTGTTCTGATATACGAGTGACGCTTTCTGAAATTCAATTGACTATTCTGAAATACAATTGATACTTCCTGAAATTGAATGGACCCTTTCTGAAACATGTTAAATATGTAGAACTGATAGGTATACTTTTTTTTCGTGTCATTTGGCCAATTTTGGTCTCTTCCTACGATATTTTCTTCTCTGTCAATGTAATAATTGCGTGTAAAGTTCCACATTGAGAGTAAAAAAACGCGAGTTTGCTCAAATCTAACTGAAATTGTAGTTTTTCTATTTGTTAACATGTAGGCTAACATCATTTTTATAGAAAATTTTCGGTAAAATAGGTCTCAGTATTCAAGACTATCAGATATGAAATTTTAAAATATTTCTTGAGATTTATTCGCAAGTTGCCTATAAATATCCAGTTTAAATTTTTTTCTATAATCAAAAAAAATATTCATGCCCGATTTTTGACACCTTGAACATGTTGGATCGAAACTGTTTCCATTTTGTAATATGTCAATCTGAACACACACAAGAAATATTTTTCCATGAGAAATTCACTAGTGATTGAAGAATAAATCCCCCCTGCAGACCTCCGGAATACAAATTGAACACACGGTGGTATCAAACTCAACTCATACCTATGTAACTGAACCGAACGATTTCATCATTTCCACAAAAAATGTCTACAATCATATACGTCTGATAGATTTATCCCATGTTCCAGTTGACCCCCGAAGACGAAGAACGACGCAGGCGCAGACGAGAACGAAACAAAATAGCAGCGACGAAATGCCGGCTGAAAAAGCGCGAACGAACGGCCAACCTGATCCAAGAGTCGGAAGTGCTCGAGTCCCAAAACGTCGACCTGAAAGGCCAGCTCCAAGAGCTGCAGAGCCAAAAGCAGACCCTCATGGAGCTGCTGTCCATGCACAGGCCGCACTGCCAGCACAACATAGGCCCCGCGACACGTGACCACCTGGGCAGGCTGCCTCCCGTGTCCGTCATCGAGAGTCATCCCTACTCGCGGCCGGCCTCCGTGAACCCCTACCGTAGTGGTCACATGGACACTGTGGCCCGCCCGGCCAGTGTGGGGGCAGCCAACCACCTGCCCTGCAATAGGCCAGCCTTCAGCAAGCTGCCTAGTATTATTGTGGAAGAAGTGAACGAGAACTTTGAGGTCAGCCAGTTCACGAACCTGGACGCTTCCTATTCCTACGGCTCGCCCTGCCATAACTATTCGGGAAGTCAGGGTTATGGCAGCGCGGGAATGGATAACGGCTGTATGGCGTGATGTGCCTTCAAACATTTTCTTGTATTCGCAACGGTTGCGGAACTAAGCGCAGTTCCTTTTTATATTTTTATTATTTGATTCATATTTATTTTATTCCAAGTATGTTCATCACATTGCAGAAGGCATAATAATTGATTCAGGAAATGAAACATACGGGGTTGATTGATGATGAAGAAAATAATATTCCATTTCGCCCTGTAGTTTAGAACCTAAATATTGTTTGATCTTTTCTCGGATTTTTTATGGGAGAGATCCCAACTATTTTGGCAAAATCAATCAATTCCCAAAAATTATTAATTGTGTCTTCATTTGGATATCATTGAATCTACAATCAGTATTTTTTTCTTTCAAATAACTGCATATTTATTATGCCTATATTTCAACCACACTTTTGCTTATTGGAACATTATGTATATAAGTACGTAGGTACTACATAGTTTTTAGTTATTGTTAGACTCATTTCAATAGCTATGGTGGAAAAACTTCTATCAGAAGATAGTATTAATAGACTTAGCACCAAGTGTAAAACTGATTGACAGTCCGTTAAAATTGGTTGATAAGTACCTAGGGTTTTTTTTTGAAGCACACGAAAGGAAATTCCTATAATGTATATGTAACTATAGCATGTACAAAAAAATTGGAACTTGCATTCTCGATCTCTTTTCTTAGGCCAAATCCACTGGCAGACACAAAAAAAGTGTTCGTGCAATTCTACGCGAAGAAAGTACTTCTCTACACATCACGTCACTTCCGAATTTGATATTTCTCATCTACAACAATAGCAAGGCTATTCAGTGTAGGAAGGTTTGAAAGCAATAATATATTCATTTGTAATTATCTAATTCAAAAATTTTGACGTTCACACGCAAAATAGTTTGTATACCATGGCCGCTAAGCTTTTTGGCGACCTCAAGAGCATCTTGCCTCGGCCGGAATCGGCCTCGGCGAAAACCTTTCTTTCAGCACGCCTAAAAGGTATTTCGCGGCCTACGTATACAAATAGTTATTTCGAATTAGGTTCGGTTTCTCCGACATTTGAATTTCATGTCAGCCAGTTGAGTATGCCCCCTCTCCCTTCCCAATTGCAAAAATGCAGCTGTAGGCCATAACTCAAAATTGCATCTTTTTTATTTTTGAATGTTCTCAACGCCACTGCATTTTACCTGTGCCTCAAGAAAGTAAGCGTTATTTTCTCGACAAATAAACCACGTTATTCATGTGTTGAAAAGTCAAAAATCGTAAGAGAAATAGGGTCGGTTAAATCATGGCAGAGTTGAGCAATTTTATATCTAACAAAATACCGTTTTGAAAATTGTGAAATTCCGAATACTATCGGAGATATCCGAAAAAAAAAACGAAATTTCCTTAAAACTAAAATATTCGAAAATATGAATCGACTCATTTTTTTAAATAGGGACCTGGATTTTTCATTTAATTTTCTCTCATTTTTGGATAGCCCAAAAACTCTGAACTATCACAAACTTTTATTTTCGAATCCAAAGGTGAGAAAAATGAAATAAAAAATCCAGGTCCGTATTTGAAAAAAGGTTTTGAAAGGCGAAACGTCGGATTTCAAATTTGAGGAGGAAGAAAAAGGGGTCATGATTAAGTCTCATTTATCTCGATTAATTTTTTCAAATAATTTAAGAGAATAAAAAAGCTATTAGGAAATTTCTTTTTTTTTTCAAGTATTCGGAATTTTTCACTTTCGTTGGCCTTAAAATTGTGCAACTTTGCCATAATTCAACCGACCCTGTATATCTTACGGATTAACAGATCCCAATGATGAGGCTCTAATTCCAGTCACCCTGTATAGTCAAGGAAGAAAAATTTTTTGCGATATTTTATGAAAACGAACAAAAAGTTACGAATTTCGGATCATAGTGGTCTATCTCTGAGAAAATACAGTCGAGTAGTTTCTGGTGATTATAGATAATGGGGGCTACCATTGATTTTTTAAAAGGACATCATCCTGAGCTCTATACCAAAAAACTACCAGTAAATATAATTTTGAACTTTTTCATTCATACTAGGACGATAAAAAATAAATTAAAATATGTTCATTTCCAAGCACACACTACCTGCAATATTTGAAATGGTGTCAATTCATTGGTGTGACTAGTGTGATATATTAGTCCCAACACGCATATTGTCCTTGAGCTGACCAATCACACTGCAACACTGCAGAATGGCAAGCAGGTATCAGAGAGGGATAGCTATAGTTCAGTACTAATACGTCATGGCTCCACCTTCATATCTGGCTTTTTGAAATATGGAATTGAATATGCTGATTTCAAAATGCTATGGATTGGATTCCACTCAACTTTAACTTATAATATTGATTTTACATCAAATGTAAATCATGATTCATCTTCCCCATTTCACATTGATGAAGGTTTTTCTATCATAACTATTGAAATGAGCTCTAGTACTTCGATCACCTCATTGTTATTTACGTTACCAGATCTGAAAAGAACTTTACAAATGTTAAGGTTTTATAAATATATAATACTTGTTACTATTACGAAAATATTGAATATTGGTGCATAATAGGCATTCCAAGTAATAGAACTGTAGTATTTCTTCTATTAATATTAAATGTTTTATTAACTTTTTGTATGTGTTACTGCCGGTTTTTTATCTATTTGTACATTTTAGATGTGAGTTGGAATATTTAAATGTTGATTTTAATTATATATTTTTCTATTTTACTTATTTTAGGATTTAGGCCTTAGAATGAATAATTTTCTTGTTTACCTTTAATTTCATATTCTGTTTCTATGGGGTCTATCAAAAAATAAATTCGTTTATTTCTCACCTGGATAGAGTCATAACTCCATTGGGACATCAGAGATTCTATAATTCCTCTACATACACAGCTTGATAACAAAGTTCTGTTACAAACAAGTAACATAGCAACAACCTAGCAACTCCTATAATCAACAGTACGTGATTCGAATAAAGCGGAACTATACTACTGTGCAGACCCAACCTACTCTGTAGAACGGTACATTTTGCAATAGGAAAAACGCAAATTTTCACATTTCTAACCAATGTACAGCGCGGCCAGGCTCTGGATGGTAGTATAAATTATGAATGCATTAACGCGCGTTTAGGAGTTTCTTAATCTACTAGCATACATGCAATGTATAACATACAAATGGAGCTGGGTGATGGGTCAAAATTAAAATTCATAATACAGTAAGCACAAAATATGTATATCTGCTGGACGTCCATGTTTGCCGAAAGTGGAGTAGAATTTTTCAATTTTTCATAGGGAGGAAGAAAAGCTTAAAGTCATCTCCACACTTTTAATGATAACGTTAAAAGGGATTCGTAATCTGAACGCGAGTATGGTTAGAAATGTGAAAAATTGCGTTTTTCGTATTATGATATGTACAGGGTATCCCACATAACATGGGCCACCCCCTTATCTGGTAAACTATTATATATACAGAAAAAAGTTGAGAATGAAAGTTGTATTACTTCTTATGAAATTTATTTTTCAGATACTTTCATTTATACAGGATGGTCCATATGTCTGTGACTCATCACACATACGTTTTTTCAAATAGAATACTCTATATTTTATCATATTTTTAGATAGTACTTAAGAAGACGAGTTCAATGATATATAATAACATGGGTCTGAGATCACCCGTTTCGTATTTATACACGATCTTCTTCAATAAATTGCCAAATTTCGAAGCCCTATAGAAATGTTGCGAATGAAGTTTTCGATTCGCAGTTTCCGCTATAAATTAACAAAATCTGTATATTATTCTGTTCTATGGTGAAGATTTAGGAATTTTCAATTTGCCAAAAGTGATGACGTATTTTGAAAACCAATAAATATCTCGAGATTTTCAAACGGAACACCCTATATTCCATTTCAAATTTGCATAGAGCTCAGGAAGACGAGTTCAATGATATATCATAACATGTGTCTGATATCACCCGTTTCGGACTTATACACGATCTTCTTCAATAAATTGCCCAATTTCAAAACCCTATAGAAACGTTGTGAATGAAGTTTTCGATTCGCAGTTCCCGCAATAAATTAACAAATTTTGTATGTTTTCTTGATTTATGGTAAAAGTTTATGAATTTCGCATTGGCCAAAAGTGATGATGTATTTTGAAAAACGATAATTTTTTACAAATTTTCGAATGGAACACCACCCTATTTCATTCCATCTTTGGATGAAGCTCAGAATGACGAGTTCAATGATATATTATAATATGGGTCTGAGATCACCCGTTTCGGACTTATACACGATCTTCTTGAAAAAATAATCAAATTTCAATGGCAAAATTCTGACTGTTATCTTCATATTAGATAAAAATTTTGTAATTTCTGTGAAACAATTCGTAATAAAGAGTTTTGAAATAAACGAATATTATCGAAATTTTTATGTAATGTTATACTATTAATTCACTGGAAAACATTTTGGAAATGATTGAGCACAGGTTATTACAATTGAATTTCACCTACATTTGACTCTATACGAGACCAATGCGGGAATATTCAATTAATAAAATGTATTTGAACATTTTTTTTGATTGTCTGATGCCTTATCAATTCGGATGCATTCATTGCAATAAATGTCATTTCCTCATAAAAATCGTATATCTTTCATACTGTTCAACATTTTTCATTGAATTCTCAATGAATAAACACTGGACATAAGTAAATGATCGAAGAGAAAACCAAAACTCAAAGTGGAATGACATGCCAACGTGAGCTGAGTAGGCTGTGCACTCATAGATGGGATTTTTGTTTATGTCATATCAATAACTGTCAAACCCGATTATTTATTGTTGAATTGGAGCAGAGAAACTCTGTCAAAATGCATATTTATTCTAAAGAAGACAGATTTGACCTTTATGAGTGCTATTTATTAAAAAACAGAAATACTGTGCTGGCTTTGAGAGAATATCGTGACCGTTTTCCACAAAGTGTCGTACCAAACAAAAAAATATTTCAGAGAATAGAGAACGATATCCGAACAAAAGGTATTCTCAAACCGAATAAGAGAACTAGAGGAAATGTAGTTTTGACCGAAGATCGTGTATAAGTCCGAAACGGGTGATCTCAGACCCATGTTATTATAGATCATTGAACTCGTCTTTCTGAGTTCTATGCAAATATGGAATAAAATATAGGGTGTTCCATTTGAAAATCTCGAGATAATTATTGGTTTTCAAAATACGTCAGCACTTTTGGCAAATTCAAAATTCCTAAATCTTCACCACAGAACATGATAATATACAGACTTTTTCAATTTATAGCAAAAGTTGCGAATCGAACTTCATTCACAACGTTTCTATAGGGCTTTGAAATTAGACAATTTATTGAAGAAGATCGTGTATAAATCCGAAACGGGTGATCTCAGACCCATGTTATAATATATCATTGAACTCGTCTTCTGAAGGACTATCTAAAAATATGATAAAATATAGGGTGTTCCATTTGAAAAAACGTATTTGTGATATGTCACAGACATATGGATCATCCTGTATAAATGACAGTATCTAAAAATTAAATTTCATGAGAAGTTATACAATTTTTATCCTGAACTTTTTTCTGTATATATAATAGTTTACCAGATAAGGGGGTGGCCCAAGTTATGTGGGATACCCTGTACCGTTGTACAGAGTAGGTTGGGTCTGCATAGTAGTATAGTTAGTATAAATACGTTAGCGGGAAGGTAATGGATTATTGGTACATTCATTCCATTCTGGAAATGAACAAAATTATTGAAATCGGTCAGAAATCAAATTACCTATGTACCATGGGAATTAATGAGCCTTAATAACCTCAAGCAATTGCCTCGGGCCAGAGGCCTTCAGTACGCAGTGTGAGGCCCCTATAATTCCCTTGATACATGAATAACTATTGTTATCAGAAGACGATTAAAATTCAGATAGTTCCATGAGTGCAAAGCAAAAATAAGCAAAAAACTTTAATATTTGTCATCTATATAATTCAGCTGTAGGGCGTTGTTAATGCTGATCCACTTTCGACGCTCCTTATGAAATATATATCGGGTGGTAAATGAACGGAATTCTCCATTTTGCTACTGGTAGTCAAGGTAAATTATAATTACCCGTTCTGATAAATTCTCAGATATATTATGAACATGGAAAAAATGGAAACATATAAAGAACAACATTGAGAATTCGCAGTATCGATCTGATGAAAATATTCAACAGGAAATATTCATTTTCAAATTTTCTCATCTTAGGTGTTCAATAGATGTAATTCCAAATGAGAACATATATAGTACATATTATACATATATAAATTTTTATCTGAAAGAGAATAATAATTCTCAATTTCCAG